ACGTACCACTGCACTCCAGGTCTGGGCACAGAGGCAAGACTCTGTCCACCAAAAAAAAAATAACAAAAGAGGCCAAGGCAGGGTGCATGCTGGCTCACCCCTGTAATCCCAGCACTTTTTGGGAAGCCAAGGTGGGTGGATCCGAGGTCAAGAGATCCAGACCATCCGGCCAACATGGTGAAACTCTGTCTCTATAAAAATACAAAAATTAGCCCAGCGGTGGTGGTGCACGCCCACCTACTCGGGAGGCTGAGGCAGGAGAATCACTTGAACCCAGAGGTGGAGGTTACAGTGAGCCGGATCGTGCCACTGCATCTAGCTTGGGCGACAGAGCGAGACTCCATTCTCAAAACAAACACAAAAATACAGAAAAAATAATCTCAAAACAATAAAATAAATAAAAATACAAAAAAGGCCCGGCCACGGTGGCTCACGCCTGTAATCCAGCACTTTCGGAGGCTGAGGCGGGCGGCATCACAAGGTCAAGAGATCGAGACCATCCTGGCTAACACGGTGAAGCTGGAGGCAAAGGTTGCAGTGAGCCAAAATTGCGCCACTGAATTGAGCTTGCGCGAAAGAGTGAAACTCCGTCTACAAAAAAAAAAAAAAAGAGAAAAAGTAGGGACAAAAAAAAAAAAAAAGAGAAAAAGTAGACATTTGTCAGACACATTCCCGAGACAGAAGTCCCATGCCCCAAACCTGATGATGCAAACGGGAAAAAGCTAGCCACCAGTTCTATGACACCTACCTCGAAGTTCCCGTGGTTGCAGGAAAGAAGGCTGCCCCGGACTCCAATTCTGTTCTGCTATATTTAGTTGTGCCACATCTTGCTCAAGTCCACCTGTAGTAGAATCCACTGGAGCGTCCCAGTTCCCAGTCTTAGTAGGTGGAGTTGGGGTGGTTTCTGGGACTGGAGGTGCTGGGATCAGTCCTTCAGGAGGAGGGGGCACCTCCTCTGCAAGCTTGACTGCATCTCCAACTTTGGTTCGGGTTCTTCTTGCCCGGGAATAGGATTTCTTCTCAATGGGCCTGTCAGGGGCTGGTGGTGCAGTATCAGGAGCAGCAGCTGGTGTCTCTGAGGTTGCCTCTTCCTTCTCAGGACTGCCAAGCACTGGAACATCTGCTGCTTCTGGAGATGGATCCCTCACAGGAGTCTGCTCTAGGCGCCGTGACCGGTAACTAGTCTCATGCTTAACAGTCTCGCCAGACCGGCCACCGTGCTGCCCCCCAGCTTCCATAGGCCTAAAACCAGCACGACCTTCCTTGAAGCCCCCAGATCGAGAATAATTCCTGGGTGCAGACATGCGGCCAGTACCTGCAGCATTTCTGTTAATAAATGTCCTTGGTGGTAGGGTACCCCCAAGACCCTGGTGGCGATGAGACTTGTTTAGCCGCTCACCATTCCAATTTGGATCTCTTTGTGGAGGACTCCCATATCTACAAAAAATGGAATGAAGAAACTGTTAAGAAATTAACAAAAGGAGGCTGGGCACGGTGGCTCAGGCCTGTAATCCCAGCACTTTGGGAGATCAAGAAAGACGGGCAGATCACTTGAGGCCAGGAGTTTGAGACCAGCCTAGCTAATACAGTGAAACCCCATTTCTACTAAAAATACAAAAATTAGCTGATCGTGATGGTACATGCCTGTAATCCCAGCTACTGAGGAGGCTGAAGCAGGAGAATCACTCGAACCCGGGAGGTGGAGGTTGCAGTGAACCGAGAACATGCCACTGCACTCTTTATTTTGTCTCTAAATAAAGAAAGAAGGAAGGAAGGAGAGAAGAGGAAGAAAGAGAGAGACAGAAAGAAATACAGAGAGAGAGAGAAAGAAAAGCAAAGCAAGAGAGTTCTTTCTAAAATATATCTATAGTCTATGGTCTATTTTTTTTTTTTTCCTTTTTTTTTTGGAGACAGGGTCTCACTATGTTCTCCAGGCTAGTCCTGAACTCCTGGCCTCAAGCAATCCTCCTGCCTCAGCCTCCCAAAGTGCTGGGATTCCAGGTGTAAGCCACTGTAAGCCACCATGCCTAGCCCAGTCTATGTTCTAAAATGCCTCACCGGGGTTTCCGGATTCTTCGGGGTTTGATGTCATCAGGATTGTGAGCTGAGCGAATGTCATAACCATAAAGAGCAATGAGCTCCTGTCGGGACTTTGGGGCCTGCTCATCTTCCCGGAACTTGTCATGCTCCCAGCGACCCTCATCCTTCCATAGCTTTCGCTGACGCCCCTTGGGTCTGGATAAAATGAAGGAAAAGTGTCTTGGGTCAGCAGAATTCTCCAAGTAGAGATGTTCATGAACAAAACGGGTCAGGCAGGGGGACAATAGGAACTTCACGTAGTCTCATCATCCCAAAGAGATTATAAAAAACAGGCCTCCCCTAAGCAAGTGTGAATCACAGAACCTCAGAGCCTGCTGGGCTCAAATACAACAGACATAGAAATGAGAAAAGGACTTCATTTCATGCCATTCAGTACCTTTGAAAAACATCTCCTTTCTCCTAAAAGGCAGCCTATGCAAGTACTTCACTTCTCAGAGGCCTTACGCCTCAGATTAAGAAAAGAAAAAGTAGAATAATTAAGAGAAGATGAGTTCTGGAAACAGACTGCCCTAGGTCTGCATCTTAGCTGCCTCACCAAGAATTACCAAATATTCTAAGCCCACTTTCCTCATTTGTACAAGAAGGATAATCATAATACTTATCTTAAAATGCCTGTAATAAATGAAATACAGGCAAAGCATTTAGCAAAGTACCTGACCTACATGTCTAAAATACATGTTAGACAGCGGCAGCAGCAAGTGGCTTTTACCTGACTTCCTCCTCCTGAGTTTGCCCTCGAAGATCATGCTCAAAGAAGAGCCCTTTCCGAGGTATGTATGCTGGATTCTTCCGATCTTCATCATCATCCAAATGCTTAGGGCCCTTTTTACCCACTTTGTTCTCCACAGGCTCTGTGCTCTCCTAGAGGACAGATAAAGGGATCCTTACTCTACCAGACTCAATAATCCCTATTCCAGCCTCTAAAATGGAGGACTGTGGAATGTACTGACCTGTCCGTCCCCACTTTGCCTCTCTCCAGTCACAGTGCCTTTGGTGTCAGGCTTTTCTTCTCCCTTCTCTTCTTTTGTTGAAGAATTAACAGCATCATTAGCTTCTGATTTCAGCTCCACTTTGGAGTTTTCCTCTTCACTGTATTCTCCTTCTTCACCCTGAAAAAAGTTTCCCTGTCAGTGATGCAGATAAGATCTGAACAGCATTTTAATTCCCACCTCGCCCCCCTCCCAAGATGGAGTCTCTGTCACTCAGGCTGGAATGCAGTGGTGCAATCTCGGCTCACTGCAACCTCTGCCTCCCAGGGTCAAGCAATTCTCCTGCCTCAGCCTCCCAAGTAGCTGGGATTACAGGCATCCACCACCACGCCTGGCTAATTTTTTGTATGTTTAGTGGAGACCGGGTTTCACCATGTTGGCCAGGCTGGTCTCAAACTCCTGACTTCACGATCCGCCTGCCCTGGCCTCCTAAAGTGCTGGGTTTACAGGAGTGAGCCACCGTGCCCGGCTGCATTTCAATTTTCTGCTTTTTAGGAATACATTTATTGATTAAATTTTTAGTACAACACAGAACTGAAAAGCAAACAAATCAATATTCTTACCCATATTTCCAGAAGATAAAGATCCTATTTTGGCTGGGCACGGTGGCTGATGCCTGTAATCCCAACACTTTGGGAGGCCGAGGCAGGCAGATCACCTGAGATCAGGAGTGCGAGACCAACCTGGTCAGCATGGCAAAACCCCACCTCTACTAGAAATACAAAAATAAGCCACATATGGTGTCAGGCACCTGTAATCCCAGCTAACTGGGAGGCTAAGGCAGGAAAATCATTTGAACCAGGGAGGCAGAGGTTGCAGTGAGCAGAGACTGTACCACTGCACTTCAGCCTGGGCAACAGAGTAAGGCTCTGTTGCAAAAAATAATAATAAAAAAACCGCTATTTTTAAAAATCACATTAAACAAATACACACATACACACATATATATCCACATAGGTTTTCCTGGAACACATGCAAGAATTATTAAAAGTGGCAGGCTGGGCGCAGTGGCTTACACCTATAATCCCAGCACTTTGGGAGGCTGAGGCGGGAGGATCACTTGAGGTCAGGAGTTCGTGGCCAGCCTGGTACGAACATGGCAAAACCCTGTCTCTACTAAAAATACAAAAATTAGCCGGGAGGCGGGAGGCTGCAGTGAGCCAAGATTGTGCCACTGCATTCCAGTCTGGGTGACAAGAGCAAAACACCGTCTCAAAAAAACAAAACAGGCCGGGCATGGTGGCTCACACCTGTAACCCCAGCACTTTGGGAGGCCGAGGTGGGCGGATCACAAGGTCAGGAGATCGAGACCACGGTGAAACCCCATCTCGGCCGGGCGCGGTGGCTCAAGCCTGTAATCCCAGCACTTTGGGAGGCCAAGACGGGCGGATCACGAGGTCAGGAGATCGAGACCATCCTGGCTAACATGGTGAAACCCCGTCTCTACTAAAAAATACAAAAAACTAGCCGGGCGAGGTGGCGGGCGCCTGTAGTCCCAGCTACTCAGGAGGCTGAGGCAGGAGAATGGTGAGAACCCGGGAGGCAGAGCTTGCAGTGAGCTGAGACTGTGCCACTGCACTCCAGCCTGGGCGACAGAGCAAGACTCTGTCTCAAAAAAAAAAAAAAAAAAAAAAAACCAGCGCAGCCTCTAACGGGCCCAGAGGATAAGAATGGAAGGGAGACTTACTATACAATACCTAACATATAAGAGGAGCTTAATCTTTTTGATAATTTCTATCTCCATGAATTATCTTTTTTGAGACAAAGTCTTGCTCTGTTGCCCAGGAGCGCAGTGGCACAATCATGGCTTACTGCAGTCTCAATCTCCTGGGCTCAAGTGATGTTCCCACCTCAGCCTCCGAAGTAGCTGCGACTACAGGCACATGCCACCACACCTGGCTGATTTTTTTTATTTTTATTTTTAGTAGAGACGAGGTCTCACTACGTTGCCTAGGCAGTTCTTGAACTCCTGAGCTCAAGCAATCCTCCCTTGGCCTCCCAAAGTGCTGTTGATTACAGGCATGAACACTGTACCTGACCTATGAATTTTCTCTTAAATACGCAGTGCGTAGTAACTATATTTTGTCTTAAGTTGTGAACTCTCCTATCTCAAAATGGCTTACAGCAGAAATTCCCAACCTTTTTGATTATGTGGACCCCTTTTTAAGATCTAAAAGTTTTCATGGATCCCCATGAGATATTCACTGAGAAAACATGCAATGACAAACAACTGCCAGGCTGGATGTAGTGGTTCATGCCTGTAATCCCAACACTCTGGGAGGCCGAGGCAGGTGGATCACTCGAGGTCAGGAGTTTAAGACCAGCCTGGTCAACATAGTGAAACCTTGTCTCTACTAAAAATACAAAAATTAGCCAGACATGGTGGCATGAACCTGTAATCTCAGCTATTTGGGAGGCTGAGGCAAGAGTATTGCTTAAACCCAGGAGGTGGAGGTTGCAGTGAGCCAAGATAGCACCACTGCATACCAGCCTGGGTGAAAGAGTGAGACCCTGTCAAAAAAAAAAATTCACCAGGAGTGGTGGCGTGCGCCTGTAGTCCCAGTAACTTGGGAGGCTGAGATGTGAGATCATTTCAGCCCAGGAGGTAGAGGTTGCAGTGAGCCATAATTGTGCCACTGCACTCCAGCTTGAGCAACAGGGCGAGACCCTGTCTCCAAAAAAAGAAAACCAACCAACCAAACAAAAAAACCAAAACACAACAAATTGATGTGTGCCTGTAGTCCCAGCTACTCGGAAGGCTGAGGGAGGAGCATCACTTTAACCTGGGAGGCAGAGGTTGCAGCGAACCAAGATCGCCCCACTGCACTCCAGCCTGTGCAGCAGAGACTGTCTCAAAAACAAACAAAAAACAACAAACTGTTATACATTCAGTAACACTTTAAGTTTACATTTTATTAATTTACATATATTCAAAAATAGTAATACATAAGGGGGGCGATGTATATTTTAGTCTATAGATAACGAGAACTGAATGAGTAGATGTGCAAACTCTTTTTTGAGACAGGGTCTCACTCTGTCGCCCAGGCTGGAGTGCAGTGGCGTGATCTCAACTGACTATAGCCTTGACCTCCTGGGCTCAAGTAGTCCTCCCACCTCAGCCCCCACAAGTAGCTGGGACTACAGATGTACACCACCATGCCCAACTAATTTTTGTATTTTTTTGTAGAGACAAGAGTTTCACCACATTACCCAGGCTGGCCTCAAACTTCTGAGCTCAAGCGAACCTCCTGCCTCAGCCTCCCAAAGTGCTAGGATTACAGGCATGAGCCACTGCGCCCAACCAGATGTGCAAACTCTTGATAATGACTCTATGATTTCCCAATGCGCTGTTATCCTCAAGTTGGAAAATAGTAGCTTACGTTTTTTGATGCCTATGAGTACTAGTTTTCTGCAGCAGGAAATTCCTGCAGTCAGAAACTATCCAGAATCACATAATTTCAAAAATTTGACCTAAAAAACCTTAGAGAACAACTCGTACAACCATCGCATTTCAGAAACGAAAAAAATTAGTCCAAGTGCTCTCTCTTTCCTTTTTACTATCTTCTTCCCTCTTTTACCACATCAAGATTGGGTAACACTGTTCATGACAGAGAAAGTGCTGGGTCTACACACAAAGGATCATTAGGCCATTAGAAAGGGCCAGGAAATGGATGTGTGGCTAGTTCTAGGTAGGAAAAGGCAGCAGCTAAGGCTCATGACAAGGGAACTGGCTTTAGAGTAGGGTTACTCTCCTCTCCTTGTCCTCCCCAGACTTGGACCTAAGGAGGCAGAGCTATGGCTAGGGAGGCCTACGAGAACACAGAGAAATGGTTTCAAGGAAAGGTGGTGGTGTCCTCATTGATGGGTTACATCTGAAACCTGGTAGATGTATGTATACTGGTCTCTCACTCTCCTACTGGGTCTGATACTTGATCTGAACCAGACTGCCCTGTCACTCAAGACTCAGGTTGGCCCCAATAATCTGGTCAAAGAGGCTCAATGTGGGATTCCTGAATTCCTGATTGAGAAGCTCTCAAACTCTAAGTTTCTGCCATCTTTTCAAATAGAGCTGAGTCAGCCTGATTGGCCCAGACAAGCCAATTAATCCCTCTTCCTCGTTTTTCCCTGCTCAGCATCTGGGTATAGTTGACCCTGGAACAAGGGGTTTGAACCACTCAGGTCCACTTCTACGCAAATTTTTTTCAATAAAAGTTACAGCAAGTAATGCCTGCCTCTCCTTCCACTGCCTCTGTCACCCAAGGCAGCAAGATCAACCCCTCCTCTTCTGAAGTCTACTCAACACAAAGATGATGAAGACCTTTATGATGATCCACTTCCACTGAATGTTTCCTTAATAGTGAATATGATTTCTTAATAACATTTTCTTTTCTCTAGCTTACTTATTGTAAGAGTACAGTACACAATAGACATACAAAATACGTATTCACTGACTGTTTATGTTATTGGTAAGGCTTCCAGTTGACTTAGTAGTTGGAGGGAGTCAAAAATTATACTTGGAATTCTTACTGCACAGGGATATGTGTCCTTTATATTTTATTTATTATTTATTTATTTTGGAGACAGAGTCTTGCTCTGTCGCCCAGGCTGGAGTGCAATGGCACGATCTCAGCTCACTGCAACCTCCACCTCCTGGGTTCAAGCAATTCTTATGCCTCAGCCTCCTGAGTAGCGGGGACTACAGGTGTGCGCCACCACTCCTGGCCAATTTTTGTACTTTAGTAGAGACAGGGTTTCACCATGTTGCCCAGGCTGGTCTCAAAGTCCCGAGCTCAGGCAAGCCACCCACCTCGGCCTCCTGAGGTGCTGGGATTACAGACGTGAGCCACCACACCCAGCCCCCTTTTATTTTTTTTTAACAGATGGGGTCTCGCTGTATCACTCAGGGTAGAGTGTAGTGGTGTGATCAAGGCTTGCAGCAGCCTCAAACACCTGGGCTCCAGTGATCCTTCTGCCTCAGCCTCCTGAGTAGCTGGGACTGCAGGCATGTGCCATCATGCCCAGCTAATTTTTGTCCTTTTTTTTTTTTTTTTTGTAGAGACAGGGTCTTGCTTTTTTGGTCCAGGCGCTGAGCTCTCAAACTCTTGGGACTCACAAGTGAT